AATATCGATCGATCTGGATTTTCAACGTGAGAACTACATTGCAAATGTAACCACCGCATCAACACGATCGAGGCCACTTCTGTACATAGACAGTGCACTATAACAGCAAAGTACCAAGACAATGATGCACTCTAACAGTATAGTACATAGCGAGTGCACTATGCCAGTAAAGTACAAGTCACAGACAGTGCCCTTTGCCATTATAGTGATATATACAATTCACGGTGCCATTATAAACATAGTGTACTGTGCCACTGTTGAATACAAACGTAGTGTACCGAGCCACTAAAATACACAAACCAATATACAGATCCATTATTCTAAGTAGACATTGTTATATACTATTGACATTCGTTGTAACTTCCTTTTGAAATCGACCACTAAGCTGTATTTATTTACTACAGTATCAGGTAACGTCTCTGTAGGGCTATACTAGATACGTTCTGTCCTCTACCGTTACTTCAGGTTAGTTTATCCACCTTATAAAGGAGAAAAAAAACACATTGAAAACTGAAAATGATTGGGACTCGTTAAATTAAAAACAGGATCGCATCTCACCCGACGCAGGCTTAACCTTTATGGCGTCATTGATTTCGTATTAATTAAATCAGATTTTTTTTTGTGCCAAGAATTCCTAACGACTTTTATTAAGCACACTCTAAGGGAAACCCTGCCCTCCCCAGCGCGACAGGGGAGCCCCATACAACCGGACCGGAGACCCGTTGAATTGTGGGAGGGGGGGGGGTGACAATATCCGCGATCTCAAGAACCGATCATCACCGCCGACCCCCTTGGTCGCTAGGGGCTGGAAAACTGAGCCCAAATTAAAACTTAAACGTGGCTCTTAATTGAACTCTCAATTAGGAATTAAATGCTAAATTTTAACGACCTCCTCAGTCGATGGTTTGACCTTCTGGCGTAATTTCAGTATCTCGAAATTGTTGGATGGCTTTCATGCTCCGTGTAGAGGGCGTCTGGGTCGTGCGCCATACCCCACTTGGTTGGATTACTACCACGCCCTCCACCCCCTAATAGACCTGACAATCGCACCCCGCTCCCTAGACATCCACCCTCCCCCACACTTCAGACTCCCCCCTCCCCCTTGTTCTCTATTTACCACCACCCCCACCACACTCATCCCCACTCCTTATAATTCATCACCCAACTACCCACTCAACCCCCCCCCCCCTCCCGTCACCCTACTCCACGTCTTAATTGTAACCTGGTCTTTTCAACCGGAAGTCATAATTACATCACAAGATGCCCCAGCGCGAAAAACTGCTAATTTTTAAAATCGCTTTATATGATGCAAATCAGAAACTCTTGGCGTGTGTTTGTTTGAACTCGGTAACCCGATCTTTAAATAAACCAACCTCTTCTTATTCTCTGACGTAAAGAAATTCTAAATCACTCCCGTAATTCAAGCTTGCTTTGTTTGGCTAATCTCGTATCTAATTTCCTAATTTAACCAAGAATACAAATCGAAAAATTATAAGTTAAAATTTGTTTCTTTGCTTGTCTCATTCCTTTCTTTTTAAAAATTTTAAACCTATTCTCTCTCCACCCAAGTAGGTTGCAAGTTTTTTTTTTTTTTTTTTTTTTTTCTGTTTTTAAAAGTATTCTTTCTATAAAAATAGATTAGACATTGGGAAAACCCGAACGGTTATTTTTACGTAATCGACGAAAATGTCAGCGTTACATAACGGAAATTTAACAAGAAGTGAGCAAACAATTAGTTGACAAATAGACGCACGTCAGCCGGCATGAAAACTTACATCTGTGTGGGAACAAGTTTACGTCATTAGCGTCTCACAGCCTGCTATAAACAAGTGTTTGCTGCCAGTTAAAGAATGGGGAAATATGGGTAAACAGACATGTTTCCCTGTACTGTGGGGTAAACAAAAATGGGGGAGGGGGTGTTGTTGTATGTAGATCATGCATTGGATCACACCATCCATGATTTTTTTTTGTCTTGGGGTCAGACGTCTTACTAGGGGTCCTATGGGGTGGCCCGCCCTGCCCCCTATCACCTTACTGTACCCGTGTACTTAGATTAACACGTTTTAACCTATCTATTATTCATGGGTTATGGGAATACCCCAGTCTTCTCTGCATAATGGGATGTCAAGTTCGCCCTTCTCTCCCCCCATTTTTTACCACCAGCCCTCTTTTCATTTATCATCTATTAATAGATTTTGGCGGCTTCTCTTTACAAGCAGGCGTAGGGAAATCAACCAAACGACCGGATGTACTTAGATGGGTCTCGACTTGCACATGCAAGACATTTTACACTGGAAAGCTGTAGTTTATCTTTCTAACTTTTAGACTATTAACTGGCGAACAATATATACATTACTATCAACTATTAAATACAAAACTACCAACTTATAAAAACCAGATTATCAACATAAATTGGCAAGACTATTAATCCAACACACACACACACACGCACGCACACACAATTTAATTCATTTTTATCACCATGTGAAATCAAGACGATCAACGTACAAATTAAGATTAATTAATATTATTAACCCTCACACGGGTAAGACAAATCAACCCACAAAGACAACACACTCAAGTACTCTAGCCAACCCACACCGGAAGAACTATCAACATACAAACTGACCCACCTTCGTGATTTTTATTAACCGTGTACTGATAACTTTTTCCGGCGGAAAAATACTTTACTCACATAAGTAACTTTGTGTAAAAAAATGCGATCCGTTCTTTAAACAGTGGTAACAACCAAATACATCAAAGCTTTAATTGAGGGTCGGAAGTGTGGGGTGGGGGGGTGGGGGGGGGACGTGGCACAAATGGCACCACATACATTATCTTCTTAGGGTAACGTTAATGATAACTACAGGTGATGGGGGGGGGGGGGGAATCCAGGGACAGCGATATGTGAGTACCGCTATTGTAAAATGTTTCCCGTGCATGGGAGGGGATGGGCAGGAAAGTGTGAGTTATCGCCCATCTACAATGTTACCTCAGTGTGGTAGGGAAGGGGGGGGGGCAGTACTGCGAGAGGACCGCCGATCTAGAATGTTCCCGGAGAATTAAGCAGCGGATCGCGTGCCGGTGTCTACATAGGTCTAGACTGATTCATCGGGAACAACTCACCGTTAATGATTGAAAATCGTTCTCTGCTCTCACAGCTAACCACTGTTGGGGTGGGGGGGGGGGGGCTGAGGGAGGTGGGGGTAATGCAGCTCCACCACCCCTCCGCGCCCGCATTAAGCCGTGCGCATCCTCCGCGCCGACTAAACGCTAGCAGGGCTTACCGCCCCTGATCAATAAGAAAATATTGTTCTTTCCCATTACCCCAAACCAACACGATCGCATTCAGAGGGTGTTCCCGTCTCTAGCAGTTTATGTGCGGGCAATTAGTAGCCCTCGTTTTGCGCCACTGACGTCACTTCCGCGTTCAATCAGGGAGATACTTCCGGTGTCACTAAACACCATGACGCTGAAACGTCCAGCTACGCAGATCTTGTCTGCTGGAGATTAAAAAAAAAACATATCGGCCTTCCTCTCCTGATGCAGAAGAATATAATTCAGGCGTTAACCCCACAATTTTAAATTAAAAGAAATGTTAAAATATTTGCAGACGATTTTTCCGTTGTTGATAAATGAAGAAGTTTTCAGTAATTACAGATTAACTTTATAGAAATGTTAGAAGCGCAGGAACGTCACCCCAAAATAGTCATTAAAAGGTTTTCACTTTTAAATTTAAATACGTCCTTTTTAGCTAATCTAATCGGCTTTTTTCTCTCTAATTTTCAATATATAGGCATATATATATATATATATATATATATATATATATATATATATATATATATATATATATATATATATATATATATATATATATATATTTCATATATAAATATACATATAAATATACATATAAATATACACACACATATTATATAGATATATGTGTGTGTGTGTTAATATTTATATGTAAGTATATATATATATGTATATTTATGTATGTATATATATATATATATATATATATATATATATATATATATATATATATATATATATATATATATATATATATATATATATATATATATATATATATATATATATATATGTATGTATGTGATTACTACTCTTTGACGTATGCTATTTTCTTGTCTGGTTCAATATACTTTTAATATGAGCCACAACGCCGTTATCACTCATGTACACATCTACTGCCGGACGTATCTACCGCCACCAAATTTAACACGTAACTTGTCCACCACCCAACCCACCTAACCAGCATTTCAGAGCTAACCTTCAGCGCGAATCGATACCATTCTCTGCGCGGATCTAAGGATCGATACCGCCAGGCCTACTTAACCTTTCCCTGACTGTAACCCACATTACACCCCACACTGTCTCCGCCTGCCCATCAATCAAGAACGAGGTTGTAAAATATCATAGGCATTGATTGTATTAATTGTTAGTCAGGTACCACATGCCCTGTACTACTCGCCCTCCCCCACCCACCCTTCCTCGGGACACCACCGTGGCGTCCCTGTTCTCTTTACTCACGAGCTTAAAACGACCATGTCACAAAATTAGCCCATTATCTCCCCTGGGGGCAATACAGGCAGAAGTAATCGAAAAGCTACACATTTTATTACATTATCAAATTGATGCTCTTGTATTTGTCTCCCCCCCCCCCTCCCTACCCGCCTCTCCCCTTATGGCTAAAGTTTAATTACACGTGTGCCTCATTAATTTCAAACTTAAATATGTTATCATCTCTTTGCACTTTAGCCGCCGTCACTTCCCCCTTTACAATATTCCTCCCCCATCCCCCCCCACACACACTTGATTTTATCAGCGTATGCACTTTAGCTACTGTCTCGTCCCCCCCTTTACTATATCCCCCCCCCTCGCCCACACACAAACACACATATATACACACACACTTGATTTTATCAGCGTATATCGATGTTAACCATGTGTTTTATTTTTCTCTCTTTCAGAAACAAAATGTGCAACATCTGTCTCGTGATGACGTCAAAACACCAGAACGTCTTGCAGTATAAACAAAGTAAGTCACCGAGTCGAGGCATGGTGTCTTGACATGCGTCTAGTCAAGTCTAATTGTGTCGTCGTCTACTGTGTCTAAATGTGCTCGTCTAGTTTTTCTAGTCCGATCGAGTGATCGGCCTTGCTAAGATACTGCGAACCGTGCAAATAGCAAAGGCTATTGTTTTGTTACAATGGATGCTCTATGGATGCTCTATTTGAACAGTTGACAATTCAATCTTAATCAGCGAATTCCGCTATAATTTCTTATTTTAAAATCCTGCGTCGAAACTATATTCAAACTATATTTGTACACTTGGGCAGAAATTGTTTAAATTCCTATCGATTAGTCAAAATACTGAAATATAATTTATTTAAAAAAAAAATCTGGCTGTTGTGCTTTAGTCACATCCTGAAAGGACCGTTAACTCGGCCGTGTCCATTAAGGTACTCCCCCCCCTCTCCCACCACCACCACCACCACTGAGAGCTGTGTCAACAATTGACTCGCACATGCGCTAAAGTACTGCGCATGCGTACAGCGTGGACGTTGCCAGATAGACGGCGGATATGCCGTCCTCCTAAAAACCTGTCGGGACAAAATCTCGGACAGCACCTAACATTTTTAACTAGGGGGGGGGGGGGGGCATTTTAAACTAACAATCACACGTTGGGCACTTTACTGTGATCTGTTTGTATGTGTGTGAATGGTTAGTTACGGGAAGGAAGGGGGGTGTTTTAGTTTTTTTTTTTCTCATTTTAGTGCATTAGTAGCTGACACAATACAGCCCACACAACCTCTCTTTTAAATGTATATAGGCCCTACATTTTGATGCCTAATGTATATAGGCTCTACTTGTTGATGCCAAACCGAACGATGCACTATCCATATTTTAAGAACTGATATAAACTACCGTGCTCTACCATACAGCTACAGATTAGACAAGTCTGCTAGATCTGATAGAATGAGAATACGGGGGGGGGGGGGGGGGGATAATATAAAAATAACTAGGAATAAGTGTTGGGAATTAAGGTTCCTAAAGTTTCTCTTTACGGTTGATGGTACTAGTCTATGTGTTATTTACTTGTGTTGTGAACTGGAAAGTGTTGGGGTATTTGCCACTATGGTGTTTAGTGAATGGACTGTAATGGGCCAGATAGTTATAGCCACTCTGGTCCCAAATTTTCTTCTACCACCCTGCCAGTAGATATTTATAGCCCAGAGAAACATAGCCACATATAAACACAATTATTTCTAATTGTGGTTGTAACTCTATGGCATATGTTCGGTAAATTACACGTCGTGGTTTAAAAATAGACCGTGTTATGTGGTTTAAGAATGTTAACACCGCGTGCTGTGGGTCACAACACACACAGGCAACACACAACGAGTGACCTGTGATGACGCCGTGGCCACGCGTCGTCTTAAGATAACACGTGATTCGGTGTGGTTCGCGCGCATGCTAATTAACACATTTTGTGACGTCACAGTTCGATCGGAAGCTGTTGCTTGGCACACCAGTTTAACGGAAATGTAAACCCTGGTATTGGGTGATGTTGTTCAACTCTACAACATGGCGGGGTTAGGGTTAGAATCGAACCAACTGTATGATCCTTGTATCGGTAGAATATTCTACGTTTTAAGACCAGATTATTGTTAGGGTTAGGACCTATGTTCCCTATAAGCTATGATGTTACGCTGCCGTACCGTAGATTTCAGCCGCAGTCATTTTGTAAAATACATATAACCTTCTATAAGACTTTTAGAAAAACTATAACTTTTTCCTCTTTAAGGGAATTAATAGTTAGGGCTATCGTTACGTAATAAAAACGAAGGATCAAGACGCTAGATCACGGGTTCCCAACCTGGGGGTCGCGACCCCCCTGGGGGTCGCGAAGGTCTTTCTGGGGGGTCGCCAACTGGTATACTAAACCTTAGTAATTTGAAACAAAACAGAAATATTTAGAAGATTTTTTAAAATTCGGCTTCATTAACATCACTGGAAATGTAATAGAGAAGAAACAAAGCGCACTGTACAAAGTTGTTCTCAGTCACGAATCTATGAAATCTTCAAAACTAAAACTCCATTTGAGACGAGTCATTCGGAACACACCAAAAACATATGGAGTTCTTTCGTCGGCAAGAAGCTAGTTGCAAACGCCAGAGACTTGATCGAACTGGAAGTTTTCACCAACATTAGTGCAAGCATCAAATGAAGTCGCGATAGAAAATGCCAAGCAAAAAAAAAACAATAAGGGAAAATCTCATCAAACGCTGCATGTACGTAAATGTTAAATAACACATTTTTATCGAAATTAAGCTTTCACCATTGTTTGCTTTTCAAGTTGATAAATCAACAGACGTGAGTTCGTGTTCGCAGTTGCTGGTCTATGTCTATATTCATGCGGATGATAGCAAAGAAGAGTTGCTCTTTTGTGAAGATAGCATGGAGAAAATAAATACCATTTTTGAAACTGGATGATTAAAATGGGTTAGAACGGCTATGTGGGTTTGTACGGATGGTGCGCCATCTATGTTTAGCTCAAAATCGGGCTTTCAGAAAGCAGAAAAGATTTAGCTCCCTAACCACTGCCCTAACCAATCGACACCAATAGTCCATTGCTAGTATAAGTCGTAAATTATATAAAATCTGGAGCCTTCAAAGAACTGAGCAAAAACATTGATATAGATCACGAGGTTCTGCTCTTCTACACTGCAGTGCGCTGGCTGTCAAACGAAATCTGAAATCAAATTGTTCTTGGAAGTGCAAAGGAAACAAGACTTTTTGGTATACTTAAAACGACATAGAGTGATTGGAGAGAGTTTCATACCTAGCAGATGTGTTCGAACATCAAGATAAGCTTAACCTGAAGCTTTAGGGAAAATGAACGAATATTATAACTTTCCATGATAATCTCGGGGCATTTTTATCAAAGCTGTAAAATCGGTAAAGAAAATAAATCTTGGAAATATTGTAAATTTGAGAAACTCTGCGGTGTGGTAGATGAATCTGATTGTGAGATAATTAAAATTTTGAAAGAAGCGATTTCTGGGCATCTTGAATCTCTTGAAAACGAACTGCATCGCTATTTCTCTGAGCTGAAAAAAGAAGAATCTACATTGACGCATTACCCATTCTCTTCTTCCCTTGATGTTGCCAGCATTCCCGATGAATTACAAGATTATTATTATCTGATTTACAGAATGATTCCGCGTAAAATGAAAAACTGTATACACAATTTCGGTGTAGTATTCACCATTCATACCCAAACGTAAAATTGATTGACTTTTCGAGAATATATTTTCAACACTATTCTTTGATTAAAAACAAAATTAAGATAATTATAATGACATAGGTTGGCGTTAACAAAAATGGTTGTTAATTAAAAACTTAACCACGAAGGTTTAGTGAATAGTATGCAATTTTACTCATGCTATTAAAATAGTTATCAAGAGTAGTTCATATTGAAAGTCTAATAGAAAATCTTATTTTAGTGCTTATTAATTTTCATACTAATTTCGACTTTTTAATTCTATGGGGGTCGCGGGTCACTTAATTTTTATAAAAGGGGGTCGCCACTCGAAAAAGGTTGGGAACCACTGCGCTAGATCATAGGATATTTGAAGTTTGTCAACTACTTTAGTTTAACCTATGGACATCGCTACACTTTGCCATTTGGTTCTATACCAGTTTGATCAGACTACCATTGTGCCACACCCACTTACAGGGATCAGTGTTTCTTCCAGACTTTTTTCTCCGGGGGGGGGCGGTTGAAATTTTGGGGGGGGGGGGGCGGTAGACTTTCTTCGGGGGGGGGGGGGCGGACACTGTTAAAAGTATATATTTTCTATATAAATTATATAAATTTCATTTCGTTCGGGGGGGGGGGGGCGGTAAAAATTTTTCGGGGGGGGGGGGGGGGGGGCAAAGCCCCCCCGAAGAGATGCCTGGAAGAAACTCTGACAGGGATAACACTACCCACCCGGTTCCCTTTAATCAAGAGAGATGTATGCATGACGGCTGTACACCCCACCGTCATACGATCGTAACCAAAAGCTGTACTCCTGGTACCCCCACCCACTCCATCACCAAAAGAAAACATCATACTCCAGCTGCCTACGCCCTACTAATATGACAATGAAAAAAGCGTATTCCAGTTCTAACCCCCCCCCCTCCCCTCCACCTCTAAGAGCCGTACCCTAATTGCTGGATCCACCACCGGAATGAAAGAACTGACTGCCGGTTCCACCACCAAGAAAGAACCAACTGCCGGCTCCACCACCAAGAATGAGCCGTACTTGTGCCGGCTCTACCACCATGAAAGAACCGACTGCCGGCTCCACCATTAAGAAAGAGCCGAATGATCCACCACCACCAAGAAAGAGCCGACTACGGGCTCCACCACCTCCAAGAAAGAGTCGAAAGATCCATCACCACCAAGAAAGAGCCGACTGCGGGCTCCACCACCAATAACGAGCCGTACTTGTGCCGGCTCCTGTTTCCCCTACCTTATCGTAAAGCAGCCGGCTCCCCATATGTTCTGCGTCCCACCCGATTAATGTAAGCAATAAAGAACAATTTTTTGAGCCCGCTAGAACAAAAGGATGCAAAAAACATGCATTTACATCGTGCCATATCGCGATTATAACCGCGGTTCTCTCCCCTAATGGCTTATAATGGGGCCACATCAATCATTTACCTCAACGTAATGTATTGCTGTAGGAAAGAGGTGGGTGGGGGGGGGGGGAAGGGTGGTTATCTTGTTTATAAATATAACATAATATTCTTGTGTATTCGATTTGATATTTCTTTTGTTTTAATGGCATGTTTATTTATTTTTTTTTTGTTTAAAGTTTTTTCTTCCGTTTACTGGATGTATCAAAGGTCGAAACTGAAAACTTAGCTGTTAAAAAGAACACATATACAGTGTAATAGAAGAATAATATGTTGAAGTAGAACACACATGTAATGTAAAATAATATAAAACACTCACATAGTTTAATGAAACAATAATATGATGAAATAGAACACGCAAATGGTGTAATAGAACAACCTAGTTGTGAGATAGAAAAAAAAACACAATGTGTGATCAACAACCCCATTTTTAAAATAAAACAATCAACATGTGAAATAGAACAACAGCAAAAAAATAAAGTTTAAAAACCTCTGTGCTTAATAAAACAAACACTATGGCAAATGTAACTAGTAGACCAGTGGTTCCCAACCTTTTTCGAGTGGCGACCCCCTTTTATAAAAATTAAGTGACCCGCGACCCCCATAGAATTAAAAAGTCGAAATTAGTATGAAAATTAATAAGCACTAAAATAAGATTTTCTATTAGACTTTCAATATGAACTACTCTTGATAACTATTTTAATAGCATGAGTAAAATTGCATACTATTCACTAAACCTTCGTGGTTAAGTTTTTAATTAACAACCATTTTTGTTAACGCCAACCTATGTCATTATAATTATCTTAATTTTGTTTTTAATCAAAGAATAGTGTTGAAAATATATTCTCGAAAAGTCAATCAATTTTACGTTTGGGTATGAATGGTGAATACTACACCGAAATTGTGTATACAGTTTTTCATTTTACGCGGAATCATTCTGTAAATCAGATAATAATAATCTTGTAATTCATCGGGAATGCTGGCAACATCAAGGGAAGAAGAGAATGGGTAATGCGTCAATGTAGATTCTTCTTTTTTCAGCTCAGAGAAATAGCGATGCAGTTCGTTTTCAAGAGATTCAAGATGCCCAGAAATCGCTTCTTTCAAAATTTTAATTATCTCACAATCAGATTCATCTACCACACCGCAGAGTTTCTCAAATTTACAATATTTCCAAGATTTATTTTCTTTACCGATTTTACAGCTTTGATAAAAATGCCCCGAGATTATCATGGAAAGTTATAATATTCGTTCATTTTCCCTAAAGCTTCAGGTTAAGCTTATCTTGATGTTCGAACACATCTGCTAGGTATGAAACTCTCTCCAATCACTCTATGTCGTTTTAAGTATACCAAAAAGTCTTGTTTCCTTTGCACTTCCAAGAACAATTTGATTTCAGATTTCGTTTGACAGCCAGCGCACTGCAGTGTAGAAGAGCAGAACCTCGTGATCTATATCAATGTTTTTGCTCAGTTCTTTGAAGGCTCCAGATTTTATATAATTTACGACTTATACTAGCAATGGACTATTGGTGTCGATTGGTTAGGGCAGTGGTTAGGGAGCTAAATCTTTTCTGCTTTCTGAAAGCCCGATTTTGAGCTAAACATAGATGGCGCACCATCCGTACAAACCCACATAGCCGTTCTAACCCATTTTAATCATCCAGTTTCAAAAATGGTATTTATTTTCTCCATGCTATCTTCACAAAAGAGCAACTCTTCTTTGCTATCATCCGCATGAATATAGACATAGACCAGCAACTGCGAACACGAACTCACGTCTGTTGATTTATCAACTTGAAAAGCAAACAATGGTGAAAGCTTAATTTCGATAAAAATGTGTTATTTAACATTTACGTACATGCAGCGTTTGATGAGATTTTCCCTTATTGTTTTTTTTTTGCTTGGCATTTTCTATCGCGACTTCATTTGATGCTTGCACTAATGTTGGTGAAAACTTCCAGTTCGATCAAGTCTCTGGCGTTTGCAACTAGCTTCTTGCCGACGAAAGAACTCCATATGTTTTTGGTGTGTTCCGAATGACTCGTCTCAAATGGAGTTTTAGTTTTGAAGATTTCATAGATTCGTGACTGAGAACAACTTTGTACAGTGCGCTTTGTTTCTTCTCTATTACATTTCCAGTGATGTTAATGAAGCCGAATTTTAAAAAATCTTCTAAATATTTCTGTTTTGTTTCAAATTACTAAGGTTTAGTATACCAGTTGGCGACCCCCCAGAAAGACCTTCGCGACCCCCAGGGGGGTCGCGACCCCCAGGTTGGGAACCCGTGTAGTAGACCATTAAACAAAAAGAGCACTTTAAGTGTAAAGCTAACTTTAAAGAATCACTTAAATATGGTTTGTGGTTGTCCAGCTTTCTACATCGGAGATTTACCCCATGTACAAAATCGACGCCTTAAGAACATCTTCAAAACATTTGGGGAACCAATTTTTTCTTAAAGCGCAATTTTGAAGTCAAAGCTTCCAACAACACATATTTTTAAAAATAGTTCCTAAGTGAAGGATAAGGTATATAATGTTTATGATTTATAGTTCTGGTTTGGGGGGTTGGGGGGAGGGGGGTTAAACAGAGTGACCAGAGCTCTCCATAAATCAGGGCAGGTTAAGACCAGGTCCCGCCGCCATTAAGGCCCGTCCCATACACTCATCAATCATGCATTTCGGTGTCTGTCCCCTGCACCCGTGCAGTTCAGGCTATCCAAATAGTCGGATGACCTTGACCCCGTCGCAAGCGCCGACCCCACCGCGTCACCTAGGGTGCGAGTCGAGATTGATTAAAATGTTGAGAACCCCCACTTCCGCTCTATTGCGCCGAAGACGTCACTATGACAACGGAGCAAAACTCTTCATGGGAAAACAGCGTGAGATCCGGACCCCCCCCCCCCCCAAGTCTAAACACCCCCACCCCCTTCCCATCCCCACCCCCGAATCTTCACCCAGCCAAGCATGCGTTGGATATTAATAGAAACCTGACCACGTGACCCCCGGGGATATCTTAATGATGCCAGAGCTGGAGAGGACAGAGGGGCGAGACGCTGGCCCGTGGGGTGACAAGTTTCGGTGGGGGAGGGGAGGGGGGATAAAAAATCGGAAGGGTCTCTCAATGATGAGCCTAGGATTAGTTGATCTTCATGAAGCGGGCGAACCATCATACTGTTCAGTAGAACATTGGGAGACGGCTGTGGTGAGCGCTGATGAAGAAATTATGACGACACGTAGTGATAAATTTCAAATAATTTCTCTGTCACAGATGTCTAATTAAAGTTGGTTTCGACAATAAAGTTTTGGGTTATTTAAATTTAAAAAAAAAACAAAAAACGGCGGATGCGAAATATAATATAACATGGAGGTTGTTTTTCTTTCTGCAGATACCTCTGTAAAGGTCAGGGTTAAGGTTAAGTATAGGGATAGGTTCGAGATTATTATTGGTGATAAGCTTATGGGTATTGCTATAGTTAAAGAAGCGGTACTAACTAAGAATGTGTTGTAGAGAGTACAATATATCCTGAGAAAAGGACAAAAAAAAATATGTTGTAGAGAGTAGGATATCGTGGGAAAATTACCAAAATATGTTGTAGAGAGTGTAAGATATCTCGAGAAAATGACAAAAAATAGGTTTTAGAGCAACGTTCCTTCTAAGAAGAAAAAGCCAGTGTGCAACTAGTAACTAAGAGTGCGCGGTTATCTCAACGTTCTATACAGGGATGTATGTGTTTTACAAAATGACTGCAGCTTAGAGGGAACATAGTTGTAGAGAGTGTAAGATAACCGGAGATTAACCAAAAGAAGTTAAGTGGAGACTAAGGTATCTGTGACATTAAGAAAGCATTAACCCCCGACGGTAGAATTAACCCCCCGGGGTCAAAGGTTCTGACCCGGGCTCCCCGCCCGCCATAAACACCTGACTCCGACGTCCGGCTATGACAGAAACCATTTTTTCCCGCCACTGACCGGCGTTTGCCGGCTTAACCATCTGGCCGGTCGTCTGGCCGGAATCCGAGCTCGGGTTTCCCATAAAGGGGATTAACCGAGATTCCCCCATTGTCCTGATTACAACAGGGGCAGCCTCCCCTTTTCGTATCACGTGATCAGGGCTGATGCTCCACAACGCATGCGCGGTGTTGTGTTACTATTAGTATTTTCACCGCATGTTTTTTAATTATGTTTGTTATGATTGTAGAAGTGATATCCTATAGGCGCCATACTTTAATTAGTGTCTGTTGGGCCCTAATATATTCTACAGCTGAAGACTGTAATTTAAAAAATTAGAAGTATATATTAAAAGTAATGTCCATTAATTGTGTAATTGTATTTGTCTTGCTTCATCTACCATTTGAGTTTATCTTTGAGGAGAAATTGTTCTTATAGACTGCTATGGTGTTAAAAATATACATTCAAATTCACACACATACACACACATATTATTATATATTTGTATGTCTGTGTGTATTTATAGGAACAGATGAAGCTATACATATGCAGATGTATCTATGAGCGAGTGCAGATGTATACTAGATATTATAAAAAGTAAAGAATCATCTTTAGACCTAGCGATTGGGTAGAAGAAGCAGAGTTGTGTCTTGGCCTCTGCATATGAACGGATAATGTGGTCAGCAATTTGCCTAGCCGCCTTTATTTTCCCTAACGTGAGTTAGGTACCCATCAGAGCTGGGTGAACTCAGGGACGTTGTACTGAAATGAATCCGGATTCGAACTCGAGAATTTCGGGTCTACTGCTGAGGTCGCGCCATCGCATTATGTACTATACTTGATGTTAAATGATGTTAAATGATGTTAAATGATGTTAAATGATGTTAAATGATGTTAAATGATGTTAAATGATGTTGAATATAGTTAAATGATGATAAATAATGTTATATAAATGTTATATAATGTTAAATGATGTTATATGATGTTGAATGATGTTGAATGTTGTGTCCTTCTATTACCAGGTTTCTGTCTACCCGGTGAGCCCATAACCTCCGCCTGTGGAATGATCACCGGCGACTTCCCTCTCTACACCATGATCAAAGGTGAGTTTTCATGTTACACGGGTGTTACACGTGTGTTTGGTGTTTGACTGGTGTCGGTCTGGTTGTTTCCTGCCTCTGGTCATCCTGACACCTTCTGTATGAGACTCTTTTATCTGTGGCTTTATGATTCTCTCTTGTGATGTTTTACGGATGTTTTTGTGATCTAAAAGATGTTTTGATTAATGATTTGAGACCTTCTGTATGAGATCTTTTTATCTGTGGCTTTATGATTCTATTTTGTGATGTTTTTGTGATGTAACTGATGTTTTGATTAATGACTTGAGACCTTCTTTATGAGACTCTTTTGTCTGTGGCTTTAAGATTCTCTCCTGTAAAGTATTACGGATGTTTTAGTGATCTGATGTTTTATTAATGACTTGAGACCTTCTCCGTGAGACTCTTTTATCTGTGGCTGTGTTATTCTATTTTGTGATGTTCTACGGATGTTTTTGTAATGTAAGTGATGATGTTTGGATAAATGACTTGTGATGTTGTCACCGGTTCTGAGACTGATGACCTTGACACTTGTTAGTCGTCTGGTCATTGACCTATCAGCACTTCTAGTTCCGGTTTCTCGATTCACAGTTCAATAAATATTTGTATTGATTATCGAATATCGACCCCTTCACAAAAGTTCTTATGAACGAGTTACTTTTTTAAAACAGGGAATTGTACTACGTGCAGTTTCAGTAGAACTTTGTGAATTCTTAACATAACTAACTTTACTCTTTTAAGCATAAAATTATAATTATATAAAAAATGCAATGCATTTTATTACAAACTTTGGTATTGTTTTTTTAAAGACCATGTTTTGTATCTTTACACCATAATTATTTGCAACGGAAAAAAGAGTCTGTTGACTCTCTCTTTCTTGAGTAGATAGGAGAGAGAATCCGCTCGGATATCCCTTTACAATACGGGGAGAGTTTAGTGGACAAGCCAGAGTCACCCCCCACCCCACCACCATTTCCTACACTCTGACTTTTAGCATTGAACACGTATCGATTTCGCCCTGGGCATTTCAATCCCACACCAGGGGCGTATCGATTCCACCAATCGCTATCTATACGTAACACGTCAACAAAAAAATAAAGACGGTGTCTACGTTGCCTCGCGGCTTGTCAGTGCGCATGTCTACGGCACAACTCATGTCAAAGTTCTGCCGTGAAGAAAAATATGCCGCAGCTCCTCTGCATCGTGTTTCTAGTTAAGCCATGACAGCGAGGTCCCACATAAAAAGGTTCCCATCCCAGCATACGTTAGATAGATTCATGAGAGGGGGAAATATATTTGACGTTACGTCACTAGATCGTGCTTATATTCGACATTTATGATGTCGAAGATGCACAATTAATTATTGCATAAATCTTTTCATTTACGAGCAGCTAGAAGAGTGCATTATTTATGAAACTTTTCCTTCAATTCGCATTCGTTCAAGCTATTTAATTTTTGTCAGGGGGTAGACACAATAGCCAAGTTACACCAGGCTTAGAGGTGATCTTTCAAACATCATGTCAGGCACGTGGGTAGACTGTATTTTAGGGGTTTATGTAAACCCTGGTAGGGTTTGGTTATACATAGGGAGCGTTAGGTAACAGACTCGTAGAGTTAGGTTAAAGATAGGATTGTTAGTTTAGCTACGGATGGGGTAAGTTAAAACCCAGGTGGAAGTTAAGACAAAGATAGATTAAGTATAAACCCAGTTAGATTAAAAACAGATAAAGTTTAAACCCAGGTAGTATTAAGAGACAAATAAATTAAGTTTAAAACCAGATAAGGGTGATTTAAACAAATGTGGAGTTAGTTACTATCAGGATAAATTCCGTTATATCCAAATAACCCCAAGACAGTGGTTTTAAAGCTTACATCTTACACCTGCGGTAAGTGATGTGTAGTGGTCTGTAGAATAGGTGTAGTGTGTGTAATTTTTGTGGAGCCACGATTCTAGTGTATACACACCACTATTGTGTCATCAACACCATGTTGTGTCACCTCTTTAGTGTAGCCACGATTGTGGTGTGTAGTCTCCACTCAAGTGTTTTCAACACCGTGGTGTGTCACTTCTGTATTGTAGCCACGTAAACTGAAATATATTACTCAGCATGATAGTAGGCTACTGAGTAGCTATTATTTTAGTCTACCACCTCCATCCCCCCACACACACAGGCACACACACACAGACACACACACTAGACGGCCAGAAAACAAAGATTTAAGAGCCGGCCCAGTGAAACCCGTCAAATCCTTCTCCCGGAACTTGAACGGCTTGACACAAGCCTAGTCTTGTCTAAGCTTTATTTAACCCACGTCATGCGAGGTATTCAGGACCACAAACTGGCAGGACAGAGAGAGGAGATGGAAACGGTGGGCCTGTCTCAGGGCATACACGTCCGTTCTCATGTCATATGACATCTACCTGCAGTTCTCATGTCATATGACATCTACCTGCCGTTCTCGTGTCAGACATCTACCTGCCGTTCTCATGTCATATGCCTTCTACCTGCCCTTATAGTGTCATATGACATCTACCTGTCTCTCTCTCATGTCATATGCCCGGATGACATCTACCCGCGGTACATAGAATAAAATATATTTGTTTTTCTTTCTCGACCATTGTGTTATAACACCCTACGGCTAAAGGGCCTCGGCGTCTTCATCACGTTTTCGATGTGGTCTGAGGGTGGGGGAAGGGTGGATGGGGGAGCAGTACAGGGTGAAACGGTGTGACAATGTGGAAAGGGCAAAGGTCGGAGCTCGTCGGCCATCTTTGATCACATGTCATGGGCTTTTCTAAGTTGTATCTGGACAAGTTTCTCCGAGGCGAGTGATGGTGTTTTGGTTGACCTAGAACACCATCCGGGTGGTTTCTGTAGCTCACATCAACTTTCGGTTGAGTTCTGCATCAACTTCCGGTTGAGTTATGCATCAACTTCCGGTTGAGTTATATATGCATCAACTTCCGATTGAGTTCTGAGAAGTTGATTTGTAGCAAACTCTTTGGCTAAAAAATAACCTTAACAAACATTCAATAATAATTTATTATGCATTTCGTTATCTTAACCAATGTTTAGTAATCATGCGAATTATTGTTGGTTCCGCCTTGCTATCGAAATAGATCTACCAGTAACAGTAATATAAAACATCACAAGCAATTCACAAACAAGACGTATTCCATCTCCCGTTTACATTTTAAATTATTCCTGCTAACATTTTTAAACGGTTCAAATTCATCTTATTGACATTATGTTAAAATTGTTTTTATCTGTCTGAAATCTCTTTCAGCGTTAGCACGCACCAAGATATTTTGTTTTTGTTTTTCTAGATATTTTTGTTTTTAAAATAGAAAGAAATCCAAGAATAAACAAGGGGCTTAAATCTATCATTAGTCTAACACCGTCACTGGAGTTGTCGTTGCCTTCATGCCCTAACAGGAATTAAGTATATTCTAGTTTTATCCAGAATTATTATGTCCCTTGCTTCCCTTTTCAATTATGTCCCTTGCCTCACGATGTCAATAAATGCCGTCTTATCGTGTGTCTGAGGAGTTTTTCTCCCCCCCCCCCCTCCCACAAGGTTTCATTCTAGAATAGACATCGTCATTTCGTCTTAACATCACCTCCAAGAAAATCCCTCACGCCCTCACAAAAAAAAAAGAAAATTCGAAACATAATTTAGTTTCAGAACTGAATTTAAGATAAAATGAAACTAAGACTTGTAAAGCCATGAAATGGCAGCATGAAACTAAGACTTGTAAACCCATGAAATGGCCCCTCTCAGATTAAAATGAATGCTGTCTGACGCCATTTTGGGATGAGGGGGGGGGGGGCGTAAGTGGAAAAGCTAACCCATTTGTTGGAAACAAAATGTCTGGAAACCCAACTCGATTCTGTCAACCAATGGTGGTGTCAGCATTCTGTCAACTACTGCCAACTTTGGTGTCAGGATTCTTTTAACCACTGCCAATGTTGGTGTCAGCTTTCTATCGACAAGTGCCAAAGCTGGTGTCAATAGGGGGGGGGGGGAGTAATAAACTGAAGTTTCCATTGTACAACGAGATGTCAAGTCAATTCCGTTCATATTCAATGACATGTCAGGATTCGACAACATACTTTGACATTGGTCAAGAGTAGATTACAATCATGGACATTGTGTGAGATGTCACGGGATGTTCAGTTTCTCGCATATTTTAACTAATATCTGTATGTATTACCTAGAATAATTAACGACGCTTTGAAGAACATAGTTGCAGACTACGGTTATCATGACCCCCATCCTACCCCCCAGTCCCCCCAGTCCCCACACACAAACACGCACTCTCTCATATCATTACCACACTGTTTTTCTATCTGGAACTTTCCCTTTTAGCCACACAGCATGCACAGTGTCAAGCATGGGCTTCTACCTTTCAATGTCTAGGTACCTACTCGGCCTTTACGGCGTGCTAAGACCGTCGTTATCAGCTCCAGACTCTAGCAGGCTCTCAGCGCAGGGCTTAGCTAGGATCGCGCTTGTTGGCCCGGGGGTCTGGAGCAGGGCACACGCTTGTTCGCCCGGGGGTCTGGGGAACGTGGTATCAGTTCTGGTGTATTACTGTTAGTCTTCATTCTCCACTTTTGTTTTCGTTTCCATTTGGTTAGCGTCTTCTGCTACATGTATACGTCGAGGGATAAATTGATTAAGAGAGAGGGTTGGGATGGCGATGGGGGGGGGGGGGGCGTGTAAAAAGAACGAAAGATAATTCTTGAAAGAGGGAGATAATGAAGTTAACATGTATGCGCGAAGCTAAGGTTTATTAACAGTATACTAAACAAAGTATCGTTATAAGTAATTGTATTTGAAATGTCAACAAAATAGAAAACCCACTTTTATATCTCAGCTGCAGATTTGATTGCGTGTGAGGGTTCAAATTTTAAAAGTCCCAATTTTTTTTTTTTTTTTTTTGTTTATGTCAGGCTAATCCTCAACATTTGTGCCAGATCTGTCAAACGACCATCCTGGGTCTGAAGTACGTCACGATTTCTACCAGGGTTATCTTTTCCTTGTCCTTAGCAGACGCGAGGGTCTGACTTGTGACAGCGGGTCGCCCAGAGCTGTCAGAAATTAGAAGATTATATCTGGTTAGTTTGAACTGTCAAAGGCCGTTAGTCTTAGGTCACTGCTGACTGGCGCCTGCTGATTTTTGTGCGCAACTTCCGGAAAGGGTTTTATTTTATTTTTAAACTGCCAATTATCGAAGCTACAAAGGCTTGATTTCCTCTGACATTTTATTTTTAATATCAAGGGAGTTAATTTTTTTGTCAAATTTGCTTTAGAAAATTTGTTTTTGTTTAGTTTTATAATCCATGACCTAAGGCATTATATTGACAAACTCCAGTTACTCCATGTATCCGTTCTAAAAAGCAAATTCTGATATTTAAACGATGGCAAGATCATAATAATAACTATATGCACTATAGCAAAACAATTCAAGAAAAAATGGCTATTTATCGAGAAGACTAAACAGGGTAGCAATAGAATCTGGATTATATATCAACTTTGATTTGTCTTTCCCTGAGAATTCAAGACTGACAATACTCTAGTCTAGTTGTTTTTCCTGTAGATTTCAAGACTGACAATACTCTAGTCTAGTAGTTTGTCCTGGAGATTTCAAGACTGACAATACTCTAGTCTAGTTGTTTTTCCTGTAGATTTCAAGACTGACAATACCCTAGTCTAGTTGTTTTTCCTGAAGATTTCAAGACTGACAATACTCTAGTCTAGTTGTTTTTCCTGTAGATTTCAAGACTGACAATACTCTAGTCTAGTAGTTTTTCCTGAAGATTTCAAGACTAACAATACTCTAGTCTAGTAGTTTTTCCTGAAGATTTCAAGACTGACAATACTCTAGTCTAGTTGTTTTTCCTGTAGATTTCAAGACTGACAATACTCTAGTCTAGTAGTTTTTCCTGAAGATTTCAAGACTAACAATACTCTAGTCTAGTAGTTTTTCCTGAAGATTTCAAGACTAACAATACTCTAGTCTAGTAGTTTTTCCTGAAGATTTCAAGACTGACAATACTCTAGTCTAGTTGTTTTTCCTGTAGATTTCAAGACTGACAATACTCTAGTCTAGTAGTTTTTCCTGAAGATTTCAAGACTAACAATACTCTAGTCTAGTTGTTTTTCCTGAAGATTTCAAGACTGACAATACTCTAGTCTAGTTTTTTTTCCTGTAGATTTCAAGACTGACAATACTCTAGTCTAGTTGTTTTTTCTGAAGATTTCAAGACTAACAATACTCTAGTCTAGTAGTTTTTCCTGAAGATTTCAAGACTGTACAGTACTCAAGTCCGAGCCTATATTCAGTGTTAACATTAGTGTTTGGTTTAAATCTGTTTCTGTACATTTGTTATTTATCATGTTGAAAAGCATTGTGTTTAACAGCAACACGTCTGAGTGTGTTTCTTCAGTGCCTGTGTATTCTCCTGTAGTAACCCCCGTCTTAAAGCGTCTGTTTCTTCAGTGCCTGTGTATTCTCCTGTAGGTACCCTCGTCTTAAAGCGTCTGTTTCTAATGTATTATTCAACCCCCACCATCTACTACTTCACTGGAGCGAAGACAGTTTGATGTATCTAGCTCAGCCGTGGGCTGTTGTTTTACAAGGGGCTTATGGTCGGATTGACGCCATTGTTACAGCTGTACAAGTCATCTATGTAACCTTTACCTATGACTTACTTTGACTTAGTCCTCTTTGCTACTTATGGGACATATGGCCTCCACCATTTACATCCATTTCATCCGATCCCCGGCTATTCATTTTGCCGTTTCCTAAGACATCCCTGTTGGTTTTACCTAAATCTAACATTAAAAGTTGTTTGATCTTTTTAAACAAGACACATCTATTTCGGAAGTTATCATTCTGATTTGGTCTGTTGTAACTAGCTTTGTGTCAGAAAATGAACCAGTAACATATAAACCATTAAACTATATGTTTGCATATCATTATGCTTGAGTCTTGGTGTGGTACCTACGTATGTGTTATGTGTTTGACCATAACTATTTGTTTTTGTTTTTTCAGTGACCGGTGCTCCCATACCCTGTCCCTTTCAAGGTCAGTACGAGTTTTCCTACACCAACGGAAGTGAGATCAAGTGCGATAACCCCATGTCAAGCATCAACGCATGCGCAGACAACTCCAAGTTTCTTTTCCACCACCAGAAGTGCCCTGCGTTGAGAAACTCGAACGAAAAAGGTAGGCGACAGCATCACCATTTAGTTATGCGATACCATCATCATCTTGGTATGCAACAACTACATTTTGGTATGCAACAACTACATTTTGGTAGGCAACAAAAACTATATTTAAGTAGGCGACTCCAACTTCATTTACGTAGGTGGCACCATCACTACTTAGGTAGGCGACACCAACACCATTCTACAACACAAACCAACACTGGTAATCACAGTGGAAGCGTGAACATGGCTAACTCACGTCCTTATGATTAGATAAAGCCTGTATGGATTACCTACCCTTGTTTCCCACACAACCATTCCATAATTCCAACAACTGCAATGGCCGACTATAAATATCGACCGCCATCAGAGGAGGGGGGGGGGTCCTACGGATGCAGTCAAACGCTCGCAAAGGGAACTAACTAGTAAAGGTCAACTACCTTCTCCAACTACCCCGGGAAATGTCATTGTTTAACCGAGAATTCGTTTAATTAATCTCATCAACCTCATACGCGGTTATTACTTTAAATGTTAGCTTTAGATTCATTATCAATACCAGGCTATTTCCTTTCCTCCCAGCCACGTCATGTGATATAGGACTTTAAAAATATTTGCAGTAAAGATAGATATGTTTTAACAATGTTGTGTACACACTGGTTCCTTTGCACTCCTGAAAAATTAGAACTCTAGCATCAAATGTTATTTTATCTTATAAGATGTGTATGACAGATGAGTATGAAAGATGGGTTTGACAGCCGGTTTAATTCGATGACTAAAGGACAATAAGAGTTGACTTACTTATATCAATGTGAAATCGGGGGGGGGGGGGGGAAGGGGTAGATAGCTTACAAGTGTACAACTTTGAGAGCATATTTGTTCCTTGTCTTTGATCATTTATATTTTTTAATTTTTTAAAAGTATTGAAACAATTCGTTACGACGTATACATTTATAAAAATAATTAAGTTAATTTTACTTGTTGATTGTTATTTAAAAAAATGGGATTAGCTCATCGCTCTGTGTCAAAATCAGATCGGTGTCATCCGGTCCTTATACTCTTGTCTATAGGTTTTAAACTATGGTTGTGTTCCGTCATTCTGTTTGTCTAAATGTTGAACTGGTTACATGGTTAGGAGGAAGGGTGGCATCCATAAGTGACGTGTTTCTGCTTTCGTCCATACTTCACTTTCAATAGTTAGACAATGACATAAGAAGCCATCAATCCCCTTAATAATTCAACCTCACATAATCAAAATTAAAACGAATCTCGATTTTTTTCCAGCAATTTTATTATTAAACTTTGATTGACATAATTAAAAAGTACTTTGTCATGTCATAATCGCCATCATTTGTGTACCTATGCCATGTTGTAACCCCAACAACCTACCTGTACATATCTCTCCAGTTGAGTTCTTCCAGTGCCTGGCTACCTGGGATACAGGTGGGGACAGCTACCTGTACGGCCGCTTCTCTGGACCTCTGCTGACCGACAAGGAAAGCCAGTACCGATGTTTTGTGAGTACACCCTATTTCCTCTTCACGCGAGTTGAACAACATGATCATTAGCTTAGTAGATCAAAAGTTGAGTAGTCTTTGACCGATAGGAGCAGATGAAGTAGAGTGGTTTTTAGGACAGTGTATGAAGCGGTTGTGTAATCAGCAATAGCTCCTGAGCTAAACTAAAATGTCCTTATCTCCGTGAGCTAATCTCAGCTTATTCTAGCTCCGTGAACTAAACACATCTCCCTCTAGTTCTGAGAGCTAAACAGATCTCCCTCTAGCTCCGTGAGCTCAACCGAGCTCACTTGCACCATGAGCTTACCACCCCGTCTCTAACCAGTGATTCTAACCACGATGGCGTGGCTGAGATGTAGAGCGCACGACAGTCTCGTGTACGTTTCAGTGTGAGCACATAGATGAAAGACCTGTGTGTCCTTCACCTTGTCAACAGCTGTTATTGTTTTTGTTTTGCTCCCTGCAGATGTACAGCCTGTACGGGTCAACAGGTCACATGTCAATGACCGCTGACTCGACGTGTCAAGGACTCCAGACCCCAACCCTGGGGATGAACGTCTTCACCCTGAGGCACAGTAAGTCATGTGATGCTTCTATGATGAAATCACGATCGTGGTTTCGTTATTAGGCCTATGACAAAATATATAACTGCTAGTAAATTAAATTGTCTGTTCTATTATAAGACTACCAATGTGCCTTAGTTTAATTCATGTAGTAGAACTCCGCCTGCAATCAAATATTATAATACAGGATTAAATATAATGGATTTTGGTTTGAATTAAAATTGTAGCTTGCCTAGGTTTATTATTAAGGTTCGCAACGATTTCTAATTGTGTTTTAGTTTAATTGTAGTAGTATTATTTTATTTTAAAAATTCTTAAATTAACTGTAATGATAAAATTGTTCACATCGCATTGTGTCCGTTCTACACACAACTCACACACAACTGTAAATGCCACACAACCCACACACACCTGTAACCACCACACACACCTGTAACCACCACACACACCTGTAACCACCACACCACCTCTAACCACCACACCACCTCTAACCACCACACCACCTCTAACCACCACACCACCTCTAACCACCACACC